GAATAGACAACATCCTGTTCTAATCTATACTACATACAAAAAAGGTTTGACTTGTCAAAACTTTTGATTTCTAATTTTACCCTTTTAAGTTTGATAATTCTCAAATATGTCATTAGTTCTAATTAATCATTCACTAATTATATATAACCTCTTATTAATTAAGCATTTCCTTACTTTTTCAAAACCTTTGGTCACACTATTATTTTATTATTTAATTATGTTAATTAATAAAAAAGTTGAAATTTATCCCTAATTTATCTTCACATAATATTTAAAATTCTAGAAAAATTAAAAATAACAAAAAAGTTGAAATTTATCCCTAATTTATCTTCACATAATATTTAAAATTCTAGAAAAATTAAAAATAACAAAAATTCATTAGGCTTATGTATCTTCACATAATATTTAAAATTCTAGAAAAATTAAAAATAACAAAAATTCATTAGGCTTATGCCTTATACCTTTGGGTTTCACCTCTTATGGAGGACTACCTGTTACCTTTCATCTTATTAGCCTTTCAAAATTATAATAATAGTATGAAAAATAATTTGTATGACAATAGTATGAAAATAATTTGTATTTATTGTAATTGTAATAGTATTAATAGTAAAATAATTTTAACAGTATTTTTTAAATTAATAAATTACATTGTAATTTTATAATTATACAATTTAGTAAATTATTTACTAATAGTGTAATAAACTAATTATAAAATTAAAAATATAGTTACTAATAGTATTATAATTATGCTATGTATAATAAATATTATATTTAAAAGAGAAGAAATTATTTAATATATATTATGATTATTTTAATAAATTATGAATAAATTATAACAATTATCCAAACTATAATAATTAATCATACAGTTCTTTATACACAGTTTTATCGTAAAACTTATTCATTTAAATAAAATTGTAATTGTTCAGATTTTATGATGCTATACAAGTCATTTCACTATTTTGCAGCCAACAAAAAAAATTGAAAAACACAAAACAAAACAGGTATGCTCTCGTACAAAGTACGTGCACCACACTAGTTACAATAAAACAAAATCAAATGTATAACAGAAAAATGTTTGGCGCAAAAAAAAGTGAATGTCTAGTTCATGTTAGCGACCCTAGGACCGATTTCTGGTTCACTCTGCACTTTAAGCTTTATCAACAATTCTTACAATTGCATTCGGCAAATCTTTATGTGGCTTCTTGCTTCAGTAGTTAAACGCTTGATGATTTTGAGCCTAAGCATGTAAGCAATACTTCATTAAGCTATTACTTTTCCAACTAAATCCCCACCCCATTTGGTCTGTTATTTGTCTTGATAGTGAACACAATTACCATCCTTAAAATCAGAGTTTCCTTCCATAACAGACGGTACATCAATACAGTGGTGAGCTCAGTTGTCCAAAATGTGAAGACAATTGTGCTTTCTTTTATCCATGTATTATGATCAAATATCAATTACCAACATCATAACCCAAGGACCCATGGAATACCTTCATTACATGAAAATTCATTTGGCTGGGCTGCTCATTGGGCGCGCGCGCACACCCAGAAAAAAAAACCCCTCAGCTTTTCATCTTGAATACATATTTGACCGCTTGTAGTTCGCTACAACATATTTATTACTTTTCCTCCACTCTTCTTTATATACTTGATAGACTTTTTCCTAGTTCCTTCAAAGTGAAATGGCTGATGAAATCATGCTGAAGAACAGCTTTTATTCTTTGAGGTCATTACGATAAAAAGAAAATTCATCTTCAAACTATCAGGCAAATCTTCAACACCATGGTAATCTTGACACCACCTTCCTCATGATCATATGTACTAATGTTACTCAAGAAACGGCTACATTCTCCATAGCAAGTGAAACACATTGGGGAAGAGAGAACTCCAAAGCTACATATAGGAGCCCTCCACTTCACAATACATAAATTCATAGCAAGTCTGAGATCAAATAAGACACGAAGAGGACAAATAAGGAATGGGAGGAAGTTAAACAACTATTTGAAATAAGTTTTTTTTTTACACCAGTGGTTGCCCCTAAACCTCACTTCATGTCCAAGTTTAGGGGAAACACTTGATTCATATGCAAAAGTTCATTTTCCTTCAATTCAATAATATAGGCAGGAGAAAGCAAAAAAAAATTATTGACCAAATTTGTCAATTAACAATTTATAGCCACAATATAGATTATTTACCCAAAAACTTAAAAAGCATACCTAAGACTAGAATCAGTTTGACTAAACCATTACAAATTGACGAAAAACAAGATATGCTCATTTCAATGGTGTAAAGGCAACAAGAAATGAATTCCTCCAGATAATTCCGTTCATATCAATAGTCATAAACTCGATGAACATCAACGACGCCATATCATACAGGCATGTGATTTGGATGTGAAAATATTTGAGAACCCTAAGATCCCAAAAATGCCTAGCAAGAAAATAGCATAAGCCTATATTTCATATCTATAAATATTTATAAAAAAGAATCCAGCTCTATAATGAGACTAGTGATGCCATCATAATTTGATTGCTTCAAGTGCAAACAGAGCGTTCGGTTTCAAACATATGCACTTCATAAATTTAGGGGGAATTGGCTTTTATCATCTAGCGTTGCGGCGATTGTAGAGCACTATACAAGTCAAAGTCAATCAAACGCAAAGAGACTGTTACAAAAAAGAGGGTTTTTACACAAAAATCCCTAAATAGGAAAACCGAGAAATTCACCTCTTATCATTCAAGAACAATGTCCTTGGACCTCCTCCTCTCTTCCTGAGGGAATGAGACGGAGAATTCATCTTGTGGAGGACAGTTGTCGGGTTCGGATGCGGGTTCGGGTCTCTCTGCGGCTTCGCGAGCCCGTTCGAGATAGGGCTTGAAACCCACTTGTAAGGAGAGGTAGCCGAAAGCGAGAGATCCGAGAACAACCACACCCGCTCTCATAGCGTTTTGCCTCGCTCCCCTCCCCATCTCTAAGCAAGATCCGGATCCGATAACGGGAGAGACGACGGCGGAGAAGAGGGTTAAGCGAGAAAACCGAACGCTACTTTACGGTTCCGTCTTGGTTCGGTCGAGACTCGAGCCTGAGCTGCTACGCTGGTAGCCCACCGAAAGGTTAATTGCCACATAGACCCCAATAATATCATTGTTTTCAACTTTGTGCATTATTACGGATGGACCCTCTGGGTTAATTTTTGGGCTAAATAGAACTTAATATACCTACTTGTATTTGGTAGCAAGAACATACGCTAAAGTTTTTTAAAACTTGCACTTATATGCACTCACTTGTTTGATAGCATTTATATACCCAAAATTTTAAAATCTTGCACTTAAATATCCTAAAGTTTTTAAAACTGATACTTAAATATCATCGCTTATGCAAAACTTGAGGGTATTTAAGTGCAAGTTTTAAAAACTTTAGCCTATATAAATGCTATAAAAGATAAGTGAAAGTATATAAATGCAAGTTTAGAAAAACTTCTTCTAGCAAATACAAATGGGGGTATATAAGTGTGAAGTAGGTAAAACAATAGGGTATAGAAGTGTTAGGCAAAGGAGCCGGCGTTGACATAGAATTTCCTACAGATGCCATCTGCAAGTCTGCAGCTGACCCGTGATTTCCTTGTGTCTTGCATTGTGCTATAATTTCATCCCCCTGTTGAAGAAAATTTTGCTAAAAGTTTATTCTGTACTCGATTTGGAAAAAAACTTGGTCTGAATTTCTGAGATTAGCTTTTGAAACAAATAGAATAGCATGTTTCTCATGGCAAATGAGCCTCCACGCCTATAATTATGCTTTATTGAAAAGTTTCGTCTGAAGAAATTACAGAAACTCAGAAGAATCAGGCAAACCAGGCGGCGGTCGACCGGTCCGGTCGACCGCATTCGTGCACAAAGCTTACTGTGCTTCGGTCGACCGGTGCGGACGACCGACGGCTCTCTGGATTTTTGGGGCTTCTGCTGGATGGTGATCGGTCGACCGGGCCGGTCGACCGGAATTGATCGCGGTCGACCGGTCCGGTCGACCGACGCTGTTTTGGGCTGGGCTTTCAGGTTTTCGACCCGATTCGTTTTGTAAGTTCTATATATACCTAAACCTGTTTGTTTAGGGTAGAGGTTGGACGAATTTGAGCAGCTAAAGAGAGAGAATTATTGCATCCAATTGTGAGAGAGCTTTGAGAGATCTAGAGTTTTGTTTTAGGGTTTAGTCTGAGAGATTTGTAACCCTATTTGTATTCTCTTGATTTCTAGTAGAAAGAACTCCCCCCTCCTTGCCCCGTGGACGTAGGCAACTTGCCGAACCACGTAAATTCTTGTTCTTGCTGTGATTGTGGTTTGCATATTATTTGTGGTTTAGTTCAAGTTATTGTTCGTGTTGCCCTAGAAAGCTTCCGCCGCGCACAACATCGTCTGTGCAATTGAACTAAATTACTAAATGTAGAGGTTCGATCCTAATTTTAACGGTCTACTGATATCTGAGTTATTGTGATTTAATATATGGCTAATTGCAAATAGACTACCTATAGTTTCCCCAAATTGTGAAGAGACCATTTGTAGTTCTACTTGTTGCGAATAGACCTCTTGTGGTTCTATTTATTGCGAATAGACATCTTGCGGTTCTATTTGTTGCGAATAGACTCGTTGAGTGAAATTTTTTTACTCTTAAAACCGTTAAAAGGAGGCCGATAGACCCCTATAATTCTATTGGTTAGGATAGATACTCAATTGCAATTTTTTTAACTTTTAACAGAGTCGAAAAAGTTCGCTAACAGGGGTGTAGTCGCGCTTGGGCCAAAAACACAATGTGTCTACTCGCAACGAGTAGAACTATAAGGGGTCTATTCGAAACAAATCGAGCTATAAGGGGTCTCTTTGCAGCAATTGAGTGATATGAAGGGTCTTTGTTCGCAGCTATGAGGTAACCATTCCTCTTTTTTATCTTGAACAATCACAAGGTGTACGTACGTCTTCAAATTGAGTGTTTAAGCTGGAAACCAAATACTATCATGCATATTTCTTAATTTAAATCTCATGAACCAAGACAACAGAATAACCTAATTAATATAAGAAAATTCTCGCTTTTAATCATAGGCCAAAACAGGCTACCACTTATTAAAGATGAAAAATCCATCATAGTCGGTAATGGTTTTTGTACCGCCACCCACCAGCAGACAAAGAAAGAGGCGTATTTTGTTATGGTATGTGATACATAGGATTAGGAACTTTGAAGGATCTCTTAGCCATTGGAGTCCCTAACAAATCGCTCCACTGATCTCCAGAGCTCCCGTGAATTCTATATCCTTTAGCTCGCAGCTCCGCCCGCTTCTCTGATTTATAAGCTACTGCAGTCTTCTCGGCATCCAGAGATTCTCTGTAAAACAAAAACAAGCACAGCGTCGATTAGTTTCAAGGAACAGAGGCTGTGGAGTTTCTATATTCGAGACATTTTGGGATTTTTGTATCTAAGTATTTGCGACATCAGATCTACTCGATACCTGAGTATGATTCCTGAGTATTTAACTCTTACGTACCTTAGAATTAGTTGACTCCATGAATGATACCCAGCATCCAACAGGTTTTTCTCGGTAGAGTTGCGATGGGTTTCTTTGCGGCCTGTCAAGAGAACTAGCTGAAATCCCATCCCGTGGAGCTTTCTGTAGAGCCACAAGCTCCATGGAAGAGCTGAGGCCTTTGCCTTGTCGACCCACTGATCGAATGCAGTTTCGTTCAAAACCTTTGATCTGAAAATGCTCAAAGTTTGATATTAGTTAGCTAATGCAGTTAATTTCACTTATTAGACGAGGACAGTTTTCTTTGTAAAAACAAGATATAAATGAAATTTTGTTTCTTTATGATTTAATATGCAGTTTATATACATACAGCAATAAAATACATACCCATATCCGTTAACAGTATAATGCTGCACGTTAGATATCAGAGTCTCGTCAACATCGAAAATCCATGCATCCTTCTTATCAGCAGCAACCTTGATGGACTTAGCATAGTGATTAGCATGGTGAGCGGCCACTTTCGAATCGATTAGATACTGTGGCCCCTTAATGTAGGTTCCTATAGCATCATGACATCTAGCAGGAATTTTCTTCCAAGCACCTGCATTGTTAGTTTCCACCGACAACCGCCAGCTGTCGCAGTAGGGGCCCACGGGGTCGTCGCCTGCGATGAGTTCGTCGGAGGTTGAGTTTTCAGGGAGGAGTTGGATGAGAGTTTGGGAGGCAGAGATTGGGAGTAGATAGAGGAGTAGGAGGAAAGAGCTTTGCAGCATTTTGTGTGGTAAAAGTTCTGAAAGTTTGATGGTTTGTTATTTGATGTTGGGGGTTTCGTGGGGGTTTTAATGAGCCCAAAACGGAGAGTATCTTCTGTACATTAATTAGGAATGAGTTTTTTATGGTTTCAATTATAAGTTAGTTTGGTGGATCCAAGGGGATTGAGTCATTGTTGAGATGAACTTATAATTTGAGTTGAGAAATATAAGAATACATGGAGCTATTGTAAACGAAGCAGTTTACAAGTGAATTTGGTAGTTATGGATTTGCTACAGCTCATGTGTTCCATGCTATCGTACGTCAAGTTCCATTATTTATGCACAAGTAGTTGGACAATGGATTATTCTGAGGACAAACCGTATGAATTTGCGAAGGAATTATTCTGGGCTCTAAGCAACAATCATCGTTTCTCATGAAATTACCATGCTAGCTGATTACTTCATGTCCAGTAGGATTACTTGTTGTATGTCTACTGGTTACAGGTAGGGGATCCCGTGAAAGAAGCTTAAGCTTCAAGGGGTTTCTGTGAGATAAAAAAGTTTAGGGGGTTGTATGCAAAAACCCTAAGTACAAGGGGCTTCTTGTGAAATTAACCCTTATCTTTTAATATTCTATAATTCTACAAGCTGGTAACTCGGTCCTCTTGATGCTGGAGTTTTTTTTTTAAGAGAGAGATAACAGAAGAAATTTTTTTACTCTATATATGGTACACGATTATAATCAATATATGGTACACGATTATAATCTTAGAAATAAACCTTTTTTTATCGATTATGGAAAAAGATTGCGTTAGTTTCGCTTCAGAAAAGATTGCGCCAATTAAAAAAAAGAAAAACGAGAAGAAAAAGAAACAAAAAACCCAAAAAAAGGGGTAAATTGCACTTAAATACTGTAGAGTTTCCCACTTGTTGCACTTAAATACCATAAGTTATATTTTGGTGCAAAAAGATACCATAACATTCTTAAAATTTTGTATGTTACTACCATCGATCATGTAAACATAATTTTTACATGAATATTTCTTTGTAATACTTATACTAGTTTTAGAGCTCTTAACCATTAATATTTGTTAAGTTTCCATTAAAACTATCCCAACTTTATTTTAAAGTTGAATTAAGATAAGTTTGAAAAAGAAATTTGGTTGAATTGATAGCAAGTTTAATGAATGTTATTAGTTAAAAAGCTCTAAAATTAGCATGTAAATATCATGGAGAAACAATTGAGTGAAAATTTTAATGTTTGCATGACCGATGATAGCAACATGCAAATTTTAGAAAGTTTATACTTTTTAGCAACGAAACAAAGCTTATCCGTCCTTTATATATAATGAGAAATTGGCGAAACTCATAAAAGCACAAAAAAAAAGACACATAAGCACACAAAAATAGTGCCACATGTTATATATTATTTTAGTGTTAAATTAGAATTCTTATACAATGGCCTTACTTTCTATTCATAATTAAATTTTTTATCAAATTAAATATATCCATACTTAGAATCTTCATCAAATTAAATCTATCTATAATTTAAAATAATTAATTATAGTCAAAGTTTTAGTGATTCAAAAAATTGATAATAATATTTTTAAATTTTATTTAATTATTCACAATTTTTAAAAAAATTCTAATCATCTTATCTCGTCTCTTTCATATATGAAGAAAGGACTAGTGGTTTACTATTTGTGGACTTACCCATTAAATTATAAAAAACTTACAATAAACAAAAAAATATAAATAACCCTCTAAAAATGAAACTACAAACCGTAGAATAAAAAATTACTAAAAAAACCTTTGAATTCATAAATTTACAGTGAACTCGCAAAAAAATTAAAAATTACCGCCCTCCATCTTAAAATTTGGAAAAATAGACAACCCGTTGAATACTCCAATAATAACAAATACATCTCTTAAAACTATAAAAGTTACAAACAATCACTAAATAATCTAAAATTACAAAAAGGCCTTTAAAAATATCTGAAAATAAAAAAGACCAAATTTTTAAAAATACAAAAAACTACCCAAAAAAGTAAACATTATAAATAGCTCATTGCAAAAAACAAAATAACAAACAATCCTAAAAATAAAAAATTTAACCTTAAAAATAATAAATATCCATTGTTAGGGATTTTCTATCAACGTTATTGGGGGGGCGGGGTGGTGGCGGTTAGGTGACAATATAGTAAACTCATTAGGTGTTTTCTTACAAAAAATATTGAGGTATTTAAGTCATTTGACCACATGTTAACTAATAATTTTAGTTTAGAAACTTTCTAGCAAAAGTATTTGGGGAAGTACATTAGGAGTTTCAAATATATTGGGGATTTAATATCAAACACCAAACTTATACAGGGTATAGTGAATTATACCCACATTTACCATTTATAGAGAGGATAGATAATTTGTGGTGGTTACGCGTGAAGGTATTATATTTATTAAAAATTACATTAGTGGTTATTATTGTTACAATGTATATTGATTATCAAATTAAGTTGAGAACTAAAATCTTAAATGGTTAAGAGAAATCAAATGAGGCATTATGAATAAAGAAAATTTGATATGTTATTCTAGGAAAGGAAAAAATAAATTGAACTACATAAAAGAATAGAATGGAAAAAGAAATAGTTTAAATACTCCTTTATATATATAAAAGGATTTGTAATTCATTATTAGTTTTAGTTCTCACAAAAAAATATCGGGTCCCTTCCTAATTAGAATTTTAAAATTTAAAGTTTAAAATAAAAACTATCTACATATTATAAAGTGAGGTAGTATTTTCTTTTGTTTTAATTTTGAAATATCATAAAAAAGAGGTATATTATAAATGAGGGATTAATGCTTAAGCCATCTATTTTAAATTTTCTTATTTTGTATTTCATTTAGGGATCGTTTGATTCGTATTGTAAAACGATGAAATTAGTTTTCATGTTTGCCATATCACCTTTGAAAATCTCATGACAAAAACTTTTTACATTTCTGTTATGGTGTTCCCATTCACTAAAGTACAACTCATTGCCAATCAACGGACATGTGTGTTTCTGCATATCATGCCCCAATCAAGTTGGCGGCCAGAGACCAGCAAGGGTTCCGACTTAGCTGAGCAAGGGTTCCGACTTAGCTGACTCGTCGATTCGACATTCCTTAATGTCGACTAGAAAGGTGATATTAGTTGACCCTCTTGTCGAAGATGACTCGCCATGAGCCCACTCGACCAGATGCTTGACGCCTCGCGAGGACGACTCGAAAGACGTTACTTCTCGGCAAAGCTAAATGACAACTTCTGTCTTAAGTCTTCCCCATTGGTAACGTGTCAACATTACATTTAATGCATGATAGGCGCATCATGCCTCTAGCCCTGAAAACCTTCATGACTCATCAGACCACGTAGGCACCGCCATACCTCCGATCACTTCCTATTTAATGCTGAGCTTATCGCTCATCCAGTCGTCAGCCGATACCTATAAAGTAGGTGCCGACTCAGCCGTCAGCCCCCACTTTTCCACCGCCCTCCTGTGTTCGGTCGAAGTGATCAATCTACCCTTATACCCTCGGTATAAATAGAGGTACTATTCTAACTTAGCAAAGGAGGGAAACCTTTGATCTGATCAGATCTTATCTTATCTTTTTAATGTTCCCAAATCTGATCTTTAAGCAGACTTATTGCACACATAAGAACTCTAACAGTTCTTCACTTTTCCTACCCAAGCTCACCAGCTGACTTGATCGTTGGAAGAACCACGGGAGACCCAAGCCCCGTTCTCTTACGAGTTTCTACTTGTACTGATTTTTCAGCCACCCTACTCAGAACCCGATATAAAGTCGGGGAAAAAACCGACCCAACATCAATACTCAACAATCCTATCCAACAGCAGACACAATTGACTACGTGATCATTAAAACATCAACAATTTCATTTATTTGATTGGTCTGATAATTTATGTCGAAAATGTTGTGAATAGATCTAGCATGTCAGTTTTTTTATGTAATTCATTTTAGCCCTAAAAACTCTGAAATGAGTTTCAATCATGAAATTGGTTTCAGACTTTTTTCGTAAACCAACTATGGATATTAATAATCACACATATGTAGTGTGGGTGAGATTGAGTAGGGTGCATTGACTTCTCCAAATATTTGATCTTGAGTTGAGCTGCTTTTTCTCTGCACGTATAACAACTCGTAAGAGGATGGGGACCGGTTCCCCGTTGTTCCTCCGACGATCAAGTCAGTGATGTACTTGAGTGGGAAAATGATAAAACATGCAAGTTCTCTAGTGGAGAAAATTCTAAAAAAATTGCTTACTTTTACATTTGAAATAACATTTCCCTTTTATAGACATGCAGGAGGGGTTTCTGGTCTTTTTTAGTCGAGTCTGAGCTAGCGGCTGAGTCATCGTCGACTTTACAGGTGTCGCTCACAGAGCAGTCACGGAATGAGCGTTGCCACTTCGGCATTAATGAGATGGGATAGGCGGCGTAAGAAGCTGACGGCACAAGAAGCTGGCATGATCCGATGTGTCATTAATAGTGCCAATGATGGAGAAATGATGGCGCATGCCAAGCATTTAATATGATGTCGACGCGCTGCCAGCGGGGGGTTCAAGGTCGAAGTTATATTTTGACTTGTACTAAGGGGTGCCGAGAAGTAACGTCTTTCGAGTCGACTCAGCAAGATGCTAGCTAACTAACCAATCGAGTGGATTCATAACGAGTCGCCTTTGATGAGAGGACCGACAAGTATCGCCATTCGAGTCGACCTAGCGAAATGTCGATTCAACGAGTCGACTATGTCGACTTTGCCTGTCCTAAGTGTCGAGTTGATTGAATAGTGCGTGACGGGGAATATTCACCTGTTGTTAGCAAGAGACCATAATTTGACAATTGAAAACATCATATATAACACCAACCAAACCATCCCTTATAAGGAAAAACTCCTAATCAAATTATCTACTTTTGAATAAGGAGCAGTAGTTTCAATATTTTTTGACTCAATTTTCAAAGCAAACAAATCAAACTGTGGGAGCACGGGCAAAATGCTTATTGTATTTAAATATGAGAAAGGGAAAGCTCTATGTTATTAAGGGGTTGTTTGGTTCGTTTCCCATGTATTGGGAATACAATTCTATGTAAAGAAATCAAAGTTTTGGGTTTTCCAAACTTTTCAAAGAAATAAATTGTTTGGGTTTGGTTCACATATAAAATATAGTGGGAAATCAATGTATGTACTTTTCTTATGTTTTGTTTGTATGAAAAAAGGGAAAACTTTTGTTGATTAGATATTTCTCACTTTTTTTGTGTTTGGGTCGTATTGAAGTGTGTAGAGAAAAGTGTATACGATCACCATGGTAAGTTTACCCCCACTAAAGACAATTTTATTTATGATTGTTATGAGAGGTAATCTTACCAAAATTAAAGTGTAAATGTAACTTGAACAAATAGTAAATAACCAAATTCATTATAAATATCTATTTGACATAAAAAATCATACGAAACCTGGAATAAAATGATTAGTTGTTATAAACTACATACCTAATTTTGACATGAAATGTACATGTTTAACATGAAATAAACACACGAAACTTGTTTGACATGAAAAAAGAACGAAATATGTAATAACCTAATTATTCATAATTTTATGAAATACGTATCTCAATTAGCGAAAAAATCTTATGAAACCTGTAAAAACCTATAAACAACCTGATTAGTCATAAATATGTATATGACATGGAAAATCGTATCAAACTTGAAAATACCAAACATGTACGTAATGGAGACTAAGTAGTTGAGTCAACTACAATAAACAAAACCAGTTAGGTTTTTAAAATCATGAGCGCTTCAAAACCATGGGCAATACCGGTTACACTAGCTCACATTCTCCTCATGAATGTAATTATTATAACACAAACAGATAGCGTAACTCCTTGAACCATGTTAACAACACTTTGTTCATCCATGCAATCCACATCACCATCCATCTATGAAACAAATATAAAATTCAAATAATTAATATGGCTAGCTCGCATCTATGAAAGTAATGGTAATGAAGTAAAGCGCGAAGAATAACATATGAATTAGCAAAAACATATGAATTACTTGAGGGGGACATCGATATAATAAATGAATGGATGTTTCAAAATCGTTGACTAACATATTGACAATATCAAAAGACTCACAGATACCAACATATAGCAAAGAATATTAATCATCAAATAGTTGGATACTAATGTGTCATTGAAAAATAGTTTGATGTCGATGCATTATCAGCAATATCGAAAGACTAAAATTGATGTATTACTGACAATATCAAAAGACTCACAGATACCAACATATAGCAAATAATATTAATCATCAAATAGTTAGATACCGATTTGTCATTGAAAAATAGTTTGATATTGATGTATTATCGGCAATATCCAAAGACTGAAATTGATGTATTATCGACAATATCAAAAGACTCACAGATACTAACATATAGCAAGATAGCATAAATCACGGGACACGATAACTTGGATGATGGTTACCAATAAGCATACATTTTGTTACACAAGTCAACAATATAGCAAATGGATTCTAACTTGAGATTAAAAAATAAGCATAAGGACAAGCTTTTCCTTATAGGCTACACATCAAGCATTGAGCTTCTCAGGAATAATAAGCATAAGAACAAGCATTTCCTTCTAGGCTATGCTAAATAAAGTACTGAGAATCATTTCATCAATTTTGTAAACTTAATTTCAAAAGAGGAAAGCATAAGAGATGAGAATAAGAACCGCCTGATGGTGTCATCAAATAGATCTATCTTATACACACTGTAGAGAAAAGAGCAATTGGGCATGATAACTTGAGATTCATCATAGACTTAGAAGGAGGGCAAACATGATTATATAAACACGATAACACACTTAGAAGGGGGTAAACCACAACAATCTCAGTGAATCCAGCAACAATCATATGATAACTTGAGATTCATCATAAACTCCTCAACCTTAATAATAAAAAATTACAGAAATAATAACTGATATGCTAAATTTGTACAAATCAAGCAACAATCACGAGACCAAAACAACCGAGGCAATATTCGGAAGAAAAATGTTTTTTTTTGAGATCCAACAAATATCGCCAATATCAGCACCCTAATGAGATCCAAGGCTGCCTAAAGGGGGAAGTTACAAGACCGAAGCAACCTAGGCGTGAAAAATATAAATATACATATATATATACTAAGAGAGAGAGTATAAATATATATATATATATATATATATATATATATATATATATATAAGAGAGAGTATACACTGTACACATATATAAGAGAGAGCATACTTATACATATATATAATTATATAAGAGATAT